ACAGTTTGTTCGTGCGGGAATCACCCCCGATCTGGCGAATCAAGTCCGTGGACCCCGATCACCAGCCAATCTTAGGAAAGGACTTTGGAAACAAAGTCGATTTCACCGAGAGGTACGTGATTCCCCGCCACATATTGGAAGGTTCAAAGCCACAGGTTCATGAAGCCAGTGTGCTCGAGTGTAGTGTGCCGATCGGGGGTCGCATACGATGTACCGTTATGTGTTGTACGTGGCAATGCGTTAACGTGATCTGGGTTGCGTGGCAGATGAGACGTCGATCTCAAGGTCTCCCCCCGCACCCCCCCCCCGCCTCTATCCCCCACCCCTCGGTGTTTGCCATCGGGGTTGGGTTTTGGTCGCTTGACAATGACGTTGTAAAAACAAGCCGATCACTTCGTGAACTCGGTGACCAGGTTGCCGGTTTTGTTTTGCCTCTTTTTTTTTTTTGCGGTAACCAAAATGGTGGTCGATTAGATCATGTTGTGCGGGGTCGAGAACGCTCACTCCGCGCAAAGGGGATGACGCACCACGTTGTGCTAAATTGGTCAAGCGCCCCCGAGGCAGTTACACAGTGCTTACAATATAACTGTCGCTGGAAGTGAAAGCACCAGAAAATAAATCAAGTCATACGCAGCTGTCACCCGTACGCAAGGAAGTAAGCACAAGATGCCGAACACCCTTATCAGGATGCAGCGCACCCTTCATGCGACTCGCCGAATACCTCACGGCGCTTCGCGCTTGGTGATGTGAGAGCCTGGTCCGGTGAGAACCCGGCGTGCCCCGTCCTTGTTTTGAAGGGATGCGAGGTCAATGGTCTAACGATTACGGCATGCACGAGTATGAGTACCCCCCCCCCCCGGTATGTATATACGTTGAGTAAAATCATCCAAGGTAGGAAAGACGCCGGGCGTACGACATACTGTTTCTTCCTCGATATACAAAAAGCCTACGACACCGTATGGCGCAATGGATTGTGGAAAAAGATGTGGGACATCGGCATCCGGGGGAAAATGTGGAGGATGTTGAAAAAGATGACAGAATGCACAAGAAGTGCGGTGATGTTGGATGGGGAAATTTCGAAGTACGTGGATATACTCCAAGGAGTCGCACAGGGCTGTACGATGTCACCCACTCTTTTTAAGATTTACATCAACGATTTGATAAGGGCGGTTGAAGCAGTAAGACAGGGAGTCCAAGTAGAGGGAAAGAGTGTGTCCGGACTGATGTTTGCAGATGATTTCGTGGGGGTATCCGAAACACCAGAAGGGTTGCAAGAACAAATAGATGCGGCGGTAGGATACACCCGAAAATGGAGACTGTCGGCGAACGTAGGAAAATGCGCAGTAGTGGTCTGTAACGAAGATAAGAAAAATCCCGTAGAATTCAAATGGAAATGGGGGGAGGAAGAACTACCGGTAGTAGACAAGTATACGTACCTGGGAGTAGAGATTTCGAAGGAGTGCTCATGGGACGCACACATAGCGAAGTTGATTGGGAAGGGTAAAGCTCAGATAGGCAAGATGGACGAGATCCTTACGGACCCACACCTAGACACTAGGATTAAGAGGTGCATTCTCTTGAAGGTGATTGTACCTAAGCTAGAGTATGCAGGAGAGATATGGGAAGGTAACGAAAAGGCCGTCAAGCAGCTGGAAACGGTGCAGATGGCAGCGGCCAAGAAAATACTAGGATGTTCAAGTACAACGAGCAACACTGTATTGAGAGCAGAATTGGGAATGTACTCTCTTAAAACAAAGAGAGACATGCAGAAGTTGAAGTGGCAGTACAAGGTAAGTAGAATGTCGGACGATAGACTACCAGCCATGGTTGACGAGGCAGCTTGGGGAAAAGCGACTCCAGGGAAGAAGGGAATCAGATGGGACAAGGTGGTAGAGAAGGTTTGGAAGGAGATAGGAGACGAGGAGGAGACGTTGGACACGGAAGGGTTCGGGGGGTTCAAGACGAAAGTCAAGGAGATGCTAGAGAGTAGGGAGGAGGCAACCCTTCGGAAGAAGGTACGAAGCGAAGACCACTTGGAGATATACGGGAAGTTGAAAGAAGGGATAGGGATGAAGAAGT